TATCCTTTTACTATTTGCTCAATTTCAGCAAAGCCTCCTCCTCACTGAATTGGAATCTATGGAATCCTTCCATGCTACCAATTATGGGGCAAAAAACAAGACTTGTGGAACTCAAGTTTTGTTAGTTGTGACCTTCTGAATTCCTTTCAATTTTCTGAGGTAATCAGAGAGGAATTTCTCCCCCAAAAACCTCCACCCCCACCTCTTTAGCCCATCCCTGAGAAGTGCATATGTTGTGGATGCATTAAGATTTAACAACATGTTAACAACAGTAGGTGTTTACCCATCTGTCTTTTTGTTTGTAATTGATGAAAATAAAATCAAGAAGGCACAAATGATAGATAATTAACTTAAACTGTAATTGCAGCATTCTAGCTAACACCAGACAGCCATCAAGGTGTGTAATTCAAATCAGTCATCCAGTTGAACTCAAATCTACATTTCCCTTTTCTACTAAAACAGTTTTTATCTTCAGTTGGTATAGTTATTAAATATTCTTGAACTTGCATATTCTTTAGAAACATAACCAAAATTCCAACTAAACAATGAGCATTGGTTGTTTTGAATTCTTTTGTGTATTTTAATGTACATTGTTAAAATTAGCAAGTAGTGCTTTTTTTTTAAACAGTTACTTTTCCTGTCAACCATCCAGATTGTAATGTTAAGGGTGAATTCATTATGTTCACTGTGCAAACTTGATGCTGTAATAGGTACATCAAAGCCATCCTGCAGGGTATTGACTGCCCTGCTGTGAAAGCAAGAACTGCAGATGCTGGAGTCACAGTCAATACAGTGTGGAGCTGGAGATCCAGGAAAGTTGACGTTTCAGGCCTAAACCCTTCATCAGGGCTGGTGAAGGGTCTCGGCCCAAAACATCGACTCTCCTGCTCATCTGATGCTGCCTGACCTGCGGTGTTCCTGCAGCTCCATACTGTATCGCCTCTGGTCACTTCTCGCTGCATGTACTGTGCAAACTCATCAAAGGCCCCAAGTGTTCACTCTTGGACCTGAAAAGTGACCAGTCTGCCTCAGATTACCCCGGTAACAGGTGGAAGCTAACTATTTCTCACAGATACTGTACAGCAACAACATTAATGGTGTCCACCTCCAACAGGATGTTACTGTTGAGCCATAAATTCATTCTGCCTATCAAACAGATAAGTAAAATGATAAATGAATTTCAGTGCCAATGCTAAGTATGTAGGCTGAACATACCAAAGACTGGTAGATTATATAAACAATCATATCCTTCCACTGTTCACATCAAGCAAGGTACTGACAAACCCAACTAGCCCATACTTGCAAACTGAAAACCCAGTGCCCAGAAGTGATACTGCAGTTGGGCATCATTTGATGGATAATCGTGGGTATGTAAAGAATTGCACTGAAATCCAATTTAGGATTGTCACTTAAGCTCACAGTGTGGTGGACTAAGGAGTCTTGGAAGCTGTATTTAACAATGCATTGGACCTTATTCTTTGCAGACAGACAGAACATGTACACACACTGCTCCTGCTTCAGTTCAACAAAGTGGGTGACAGTCATTCGCTGGTTCATTTCAGAAACAGTGTGCGAGAAACAGAGGGGCTGAAACAGTGTGCGAGAAACAGAGGGGCTGAAACAGTGTGCGAGAAACAGAGGGGCTGAAACAGAGTGCGAGAATAAAATTGACAGAGCTTGGCAGTTAACAATCAATTATCATTAATTATTGCATTCTCCATGGCAACACCTGTACCAATCAGAATCCATTTGCCAACCAATAAGCACTGTCCTCTCATGCAGTATATATGTTGGTTTTTCCACTTGAATTGGTATTCAAGAGGATTGACCTGATGAGTGGAAGATGGAAAACTTTGACAATATGCATATTTTTTTCAGGAATACTCAAGTTCTGTGCTTCCAGACAACTAAAGATGAATTTTCTCTTTTTGTATAACATTGCTATTGTTTTCCTTATAGTTTGAAAGATAAATAACATATGATTTATGAGTTTGATCAATGTACTTTGTATATGTTAATGTACACTTCCTTGATTCACTTGGAGAAAATAGTCAATGATATATGTTCAGACTTAATGAGGGCTATTGGGCATTAACCTGACCCTCATCCTCCACTGACAGTCTTCCCCTGATGAGAGCATTGACGGGGGATGTCTGTGAGGAATTGTAGATATGAACTTGTAACAGTGAACTTTTGGCAGAAAACTATTTTCAGTGTTAAAGGTGAATTTCATCTTCCTGTTATTTTTGATTAAACGTAGTTTCAGATGAAATTAGTTGTAAAATTTTGCTTCAGGAACTCTTCTACCTTATTGCAAAGCATTGTCTCTTTTGGAAAATAAGAATATTGCAATATTGGAGTTCTTTTTAAGTTAGCAATAATTGCTAAAATGCTGCGGTCCATTAAACAATTTGAATCAGGTGACCAGATTTGTTTCACTGATAATGAAATCAATAATATGTTAATGGGGTGGCTAGTTAAGTATAATATTAAAAAAATAAAAATTGATGGTGATTCGCGACATGAAAATAATGCAGATGCTGGATATCTGAAATAAAACCAGAAATTGCTAGTAACAAATACTTAGGTCTGGCAGTATCTGTGAGAGAGTTAATATTTTGAGTCCAATATGATTAATCTTCTGAGCCCTTGTTCCGAGGTCCTAGAAATATTCCCTTTTGATAGTGGTGGCTATATTTACCTGAAATAATTTGTTATGTCTACATAATGCTATGATAGCAAGTTTTAATGTTAAGCTTTGCTAATTCTAGCAACAATATAATCTATCTCTGGAAGGGAATTTTAGAAATTAGTCCCAAACTCAGAATAGAAGAAATCCTGCCAGTATAGTTAGGCATTCACTGAAAGAAAACGCAGAGTCTCTGCAAACTGAAATATTGAAACAAATTCACTGAAAAAAAATCAGGGCCTTTAGATTTGTTTTTAAATTGGGATCACTGTTGAGAAAGTTTCCTATTACTGCTCATGCAACTAAGGGGCCTTCACCTTTACGCACTGAGGCAGTATTTGTACCCCCTTTGGCTCTCAGTCTCTCCTCCTCTCCGCCCTGTCACCTTACGCCATGTTTAGATAATTTTACAACATCCAATTGAGATACATTTCTTACTTTTACCATCCTGTCATTCCTAAAGTCATCTCTGTCACCTGAATCAACCCTGCCGGTCTCTCTTTCTGCATCTTTCCTTTTGTCGGCTTCATCCTGTATCTCCCTCTCCTCCACAATTCTTTCTGCTTATCCTTCTTTGCTTTTACCCTTTTTCTCATTCCTTTTATCTTGATCCAATTACCACCAAACCCCCATCACCCCCATTAATTGAACAACAGAAAACAAAGCTGGCCATGTTATCTATGTGCAATGCTAAGGTTTGAGCAGTGATAAAAATTCTCTTGATTTTCAGCAAAAGGAGCATCATGACTAAAAGATAATTGTGCCAGTCAGGAAAAAGGTTAATAAAACTGGAATAGATAATGGAAGTGAGTGATATGATTGCATAGTGATAACAGAGTACAAGAGATGAGTATTGAATCTACCTTGCATGTTGCTAATGCCTGTGTGTCAGTTATTTTATGTCCGTGCTCAGGCTATTTTTTTCTGGGGGTTTGATTGTAATTTGAGCTGAGTACATACACATAAAAATGAAATATCTGCCTCTGTCCAAAGAATTTTGAACCAGCAGTGTGCATTGTAGATTCAGAATAATGTTAACAAATAACTTAATTTTTGACAATTATAAGTGTCAAAACAAGTCAGGCCAGGATTGGACTATTTGTGTAACATCTGAAGTGTCTCATTAGAGTTTTATGTTAGAATTTGAAAGCAGTAAGAAGAGCCAGATTACTGTGTCAGCAGGTTAGAGGCAAAGTATTCAACATCAAATAACATGTTTCCTGACTTATTATACCCTCTCCATAGTCTACAAGGCACAAGTTTTGCAGCATGGTGGCACAGTGGTTAGCACTGCTGCCTCATAGCGCCAGGGACCTGTGTTTAATTCCAGCCTTGTATGACTAAGTGGAGTTTGCATGTTCTCCCCATGTCTGCATGGTTTTCCACTGTGTGCTCTGGTTTCCTCCCACAGTCTAAAGATGTGCAGGTTAGGTGGATTAGCCATGCTAAAAATTGTCCTGTGGTGTCCAGAGATGTGCAGGCTTGGTGTGTTAGCCATGGTAAAAAAAAACCCATGTGGAGTTCTGGCGATGGGGTGGGGGAGGTTTGGAGGGTTGGTGCAGACTCAATGAATCAAATAGCCTCTTGCTGCACTGTAAGGATTCTAAGTCATGAGGGTGATGGAATGCCCTCCAATTATCCAGATGAATACAACTGCAACAACACTCGAATTGCATTGGAGCAGGAGTAGGCCATTCAGCCCTTCAAGCCTGTTCCACCATACAATGAGTTTCAGAACAAAATAGCCTATTTTATTAATATAACGTGCACCACCAAATGATTCACTCCCTTCATGATTGTTGCAGTGATGACCATGTGTACATTTACAAGATGTACTGCAGCAACTCACCAAGGTTTCTTTGGCAATACTTTGAAAGCTGCAGCCCTGCTACACACCAGCTTGACTTGGGACTATGTTGCTGCCCTTCACTATTCCTCTATCACTGGGTCAAAATTCTGAACCTTCCTGATCTCTAATAGTACTGTGTTTGTACCGACATGATATGAAAGGCAGTGGGTCAAGAGGGGTCTCACCATCAACAGCAAAAGTAGAAATTGCTGGAAAAGCTTAGTCGGTCTGCCAGCAAATGTGGAGAGAAATCAGAGTTAACATTTCAGGTCGACTGACTCTTCCTCAAGGGTCTCACCATTTCCACTCAAGGGCATTGAAGGATAGGTAAACAATGCCAACATCCCATCAATAATTTATAAAAATCTTTGGAACAGATCATGAAAAATGATTATTCTGTTTGTTAAGTGAATTAATAAACAAACAACTTTTAAACTAATGGGAACTGTATGTAATCACCAGGGTGAGGAAAAGAAGCTTTTAGAAAAGGGGCTACATTCTCCTGCATCACCCTCTTCTCTCCCTGATCAGATGAAGAGCAACATCATTAAAGCCCAGATGGATGCTGCACTGAAGGTGGGAGCCCAGGTGAGTATTATGTTCTATCATTGATTTGCTCTAATTACATTACATGCTAAAACAGTAATTTGGCAAAGTCAGACTGTTTTAGCACCAGAAATCTGGAGATATTTATCACTAACTCATACACACAGAAACAATATCTTACATGTAACATTCTTCATTTCAAAACTATTACACAATCAAGGGCATCACATACACAGAAAGTAAAATTAAATGATAATTTATTAGATGCACAATTCAGATGTTGGATTTGAAAAATTTCCAAAAGTTTCTCAATGATGGCTACCAATATCTAACAACTTAACACATAACTAAAAATCAAATGCTTTCTTTTTTATTTCAAAGGCACAAATTCCAAACTGATAAGTAACTGAAGTAGATTGAACAATTATGCAAAGAATCAGAATTCATGGCCTTGATTATAGTCATCGCTACCCTCAGTAACTGGCAGCGTAGAGTGTGGTTTCAAATAATAGCATCAAGCACTCCTTTCCCTTCACGTTGTAAACTGCAGAAATCAGGTCAGGAACTATTCTCCCACAAATAACACACAACAGCCTAATTAACATAGCAAAAACATGATCTGATAACAACAATGACACGTGACTTTAAATTTAATAATGTGTGAGGGAAACACCCAAGCTGCAGGATTCCCAGAAGGTGATCAAAGGCGGGACCTACTAGGTTCTCAAGGTGAGTGAGTCATATTTCTTATTCCTGAGAACAGCAGGAGAGCTTTACCCAGGCTCCCTTCAAATATAGAAATGCAGGAACAGGCCATTCAACCCTTTAAGTTTGCACCACCTTTCAATGTGACCGTGGCTGATCATGCAATTTCAGTATCCCACTCCCACTTTCTTTCCGCACCACTTGATCCCTTCAGCTGCAAGGGCAACGTCCAGCTCCTTCTTGAATATACCTAATGAGCTGACTCCAACAGCTTCCTGTGGTAGAGAATTACACAGGGTCACAACTTTTGTGAGTGAAGAAATTCTTCTTCATCTCAGGCCTGAATGGTTTATCCTTTATTCTTAGACTGTGACCCTTAGTTCCAGACATGCCCAACATGAGGAAGCCATTGACACCGTCCAGCTCTCATCTTAGCCCAGCCCAGCTACTTCCCCATCTGTCTGGCGGCCTGCACCCCCATTCAATTCAATTCACTGATTTACCCCAGCATTTCTGACATCAGAGACTGGTGCTCTCTTCCAGTGTAAAGGACTGAAACCCATAGATGTTTGTCTGTAGCCTCCTGTCATTGGTGCTCCCCTCCTCTCACTGATCAGGCTGTATATTTTGCTGAATGATAAGCAAAAGAACTGTAGATGCTGTAAATGAGAAATTCAAGCAGAAATTGCTGGAAAAGCTCTGCAGGTCTGGCAGCATCTGTGGAGAGAAATCAGAGTTAACATTATGGGACTGAGTGACCCTTCCTCAAAACTAATGGTAGCTAGGAAAGTGTTGGTTTAAATGCAGGAGGTAGGTTGGGGGGAGGGAGTAAGGAATAAACAATAGGTGGGGATAGAACCCGAAGAGAGAAAACAGTTGGACAGACAAAGGAGTGGATATTGATCTGGCTAGGAGGGTAATAGCTACTAATGGAGACATTTTCCTAGATACTATCAGTTCTGAGGAGGTGTCAGAATTCATATTTGAATGAAATTCTCTCTTAAATTGCACAAAAGTAAAGGTCTATTTCACGTGACAGAATTTTATCTATCATATCGACTAACACTTTCAGTATTTCTTGCTATATATCTTGTAAATCCTTTGAACGTAAACAAATTCCTGCAATGTACAGTTAAGGGCATATTTACTGCATATTAGAAACTCTCACAACATACTGTTTACTGTCTAAAAGGCAGTTTGTGACTTTGTAATTACTAGAATGAGTTGGCAGTTGCTCTGGTATAAACCAGCTTTGTTTTAGTGTACCACATAAAGATAGATAATTTGATACAGCAAGACTTGGTGGAATGCTGCTTTATTCACAACTTGTCAGACAGCATTTTACTCTAACTTGAAATATAAGCAGTCCTGTTGGTGAGGTGACATCGCAGATCAACGTGAGGAAGAATTGTTAACTACTGTATTTCCAAATCAAGCTAGGTACCAGTTACATTATTAACTGGTCAAACGTGACAAAAGTAATGGCACAGAAAGTATTGGTATCAATGGCTTTACTAACAGAGTTGGAATAATACTCCTATATTAATATATTTTCTAAGTGGTGTAAGCTGTGATACCATAACAGCAGTAGGGGGTATTTCTGGAATGATCAGGCCCAATATCAAATTATATTGAGTTAGGGTTCAAAAGTATGAGAGCACTGGGAAAGGAGTTCCAAGGTTTTAGAAACACTGACAAGGATGTTCTGAGGACCGTGGACCAGTTCCAATGATTAGGCTGCATTCAAAATGTGGTCCCTCGATCTGGGTACATTGCACTGGCTTTGTGATTAGCTACCATTAGTAATACTGAGGGGACTTTTGGAACATGGAGAGATGGAGAGAGTTTTGAAGGTGAGTCCAGAAGTCAGTAAAGCTTTAGAAGGGATTTATAAACTTTGGCAGGCCAGACCAAACTATATTCAGAGGTTCATGACATTTTCAGCAAAGCAGACTTGTGTGGAAAGTGCCTAAGGAGACACTCGTAGGCCCCTTTGAGACGATCTGATGCATTTAAAGCATTTATTGTATTATCACTTCTGCATGAGTCTGAAAGTGTCAATACCGATGTGGCGTTTATGGACACTGACGATGTCTTTTGGGTAGAACAGCCTAGGATCTTGGAGGAATTGCAAATTGCAATTGCCTGGCCTACCAGTGAAACTGTCCTCTAGAAAGAAAATTCGGGAAATTAAAGACCCTCCAGCTTGAAGGGACCTACAGACCACAAAACAATCAGGAAGAAAACAAAAAACAGGGGTCTACCACCAAGCAAACTTACCAGTCTTCCAAATCTGAAAAGAATATGTTCTGAGACCTGCAGATTGTCTGAATTTGTAAAAAGCAAGAAACAAAGAATAGTACAGTACAGGAACAGGCCCTTCAGCCAGCCATGATTGCGCCGACAAATGATGCCTTTCTAAAGTAAAAAAAAACTTCTTCCTCTACACAGTCCGTATCCCTCCATTCCCTGCCTATTCATGCATGTGTCAAGCTGTCTCTTAAATGTTGGTACTGTATCCACTTCCATCACCAACTCTGGCAGTGCATTGCAGGGACTTACCACCCTCTGTGTAAAAAAAAACTTGCCTCTCGCATCTCCTTTAAACTTGCCCCCTTTTAATTTAAACCTATATCGCCTACTAATTGACATTTCTACTCTGAGAAAAGACTCCACTATCCATTTTATCTGTGCCTCTCTTAATTTTGTAAACTTCTATGAGGTCACCACTCATCCTTTGACATTCAAATGAAAATAACCAAGTTTGTCCAATCTCTCCTCATAGCTAATACCTTCCAAACCAGGCAGCATCCTGGTAAACTATTTCCATACCTTCTCCAAAGCCTGTACATCTGCCTTATAGTGTAAAAACCAGAACCATACATAATATTCCAAATGTGACCTGATTAAAGTTCTATGCAGCTTTAACAATCTTGCCAATTTTTATGCTCTATGTCCTGACCGATGAAGGCAATTGTGTAATATGCCTTCTTGACCACCATATCCACTTATTTTGCCACTTTCAGGGAACTGTGGATCTGTATGCCTGGATCCCACTGTATGTTGATGCTTCTAACAGTTCTAACATTGACTGTCTATTTTCCTCCTGCATTTGATCTTCTAAAATGCATCACCTCAACTTGTCTGGAGTAAATTCCATCTGCTATTTCTCAGCCCATATCTCCAGCATTTCCAAATCTAGATGTATCCTCTGGCAACTCTCCTCACTATCTGCAGCTCACCCAGTCTTGTGTGATCCACAAACTTACTAACTAGACCACCTACACTCTCTTCCAAATCATTTATCAATATTAGAAACAACAGAGTTCCCAGCACTGATCAATGCAGAACACCACTGGTCACAGATCTCCAGTCAGAAAAGCATCCTTCCACTGCTACTGTCTGTCTTCTATGACCAAGCCAGTTCTGTATCCATCTTACTAGCTCACCATAGATCTCATGTAACTTCATCTTCTGTATCAGCTTGTCATGAGACACCTTGTCGAAGACCTTGCTAAAATCCATATAAACAACATCTACCATCTTGCCCTCGTTCCTCAAAAAAACTCAGTCAAGTTTGCGAGACACAACCTTCCCTGCACAAAGTTGTGCTGCTATTGCTAATACGTACATATTTTTACAAATGTGAATAAATCCTACCCTAGGAATCTTCTCCAATTGTTTCCCTACCATCGATGTAGGGCTCAATGGTCTGTAATTTCCAGGATAAACCTTTACCATTCATAAACAAAAGAGCAATGGTGGGTATTTTCCAGTCCTCTGGGACCTCTCCTGTGACTAAAGAGGATACAGAGGTTTCATACATGGCACTTGCAATTTCCTCATCTGCCTCCCTCAGCATTCTGGGTTAGATCCCATCAGATCCTGGGGTCTTGTCTACCTTTAATGCTTTTTTAAAATACCTGGCACCATCTCCTTTTCTACATTGACTAGTTCCAGAATATCAACATACCACTCCTAAGACACCATGTCCTTCTGCTTTGTGTATTCATTAAGGACCTCGTCCACTTCCCCAGCTCAATGCATAAATTCCCTCCTTTGTCCTTGACTGGACCTACCCTTTCCCTAGCTACCCTCTTTCTTCTTACATATATTTCTTCTGTTAAAACGCCTTGGGGTTTTCCTTAATCCTGTTTGCCAAAGATGATTCATGACCCCCTTTAGCCCTCCTAATTCCTTGTTTGAATTCTTTCCTGCTGTCTTTGTATTCTTTGAGTGCTCTGTCTGTCCTAAATATTACGTGTGCTCTCTTTTCTTTTTCGACGAAGATCCCGATTTCTCTTGTCATTCCAGGGTTCCTGAATCTTGCCATTCTT